ATCAAATGCCCAGATCTTGATTAACAGCTTTTTCGATTTACTAAAGTGTAAAAGACTTCACCTCAATTTATTATTCGAGCATACATTTTCTTTGTGTGAAATCACTGTTTTCTACTATTAAATATTATGTACTCCGAAAAATATTATGTGTACACTACACGGCATATAGTATATAGATACTCATACATTTTGTTTGAAAATAGTCATTGTAATCGTAGCTTATTTGTTTGTAATGCACTTATCTTAATTGTAAAACAGTTAGCGACAAGGCTAATAAAATGATCCGTTGAGATAAAATGAAGTCTAATTGCCAAGAATATTGCAAATCTTGTTGTTACTTCTCAAACATATGTATATGAATGTATGTATGTAGGTACAACCATATGTGTTTACGTAAATGATAACTTCATATTTTCATATTGTCTGTTTTTTTTTTAACTTAGATTATTTTTTATGTAAATTAAAAATAAAGTTTTTTAGAGAATTTTTAGGCCCCTTTATAGCATTGTCTATAAATGATAAGTCCAATTTTGTTTTGTAGTGTGAAGTAAACATATTTTTACCAAAACATATCGTACGTTTGTTGCATGTCAATTGGATTAAGTGCGAATGGGTAAGAACAAGCATGCAACGCATTGACGACAAAACCTTTTTCAGCTTGTATTTATTATTAAAGAGGTTAAGAGGTTGTATTTATTAAAAAGAGGTTTTTTGAACACACTCGCTTAGAAGCAAAAAGTATCAGATAAAACACTGTACGTTACTGCGAAAAACTTCAGTTTTTCAATATCTCCATTAAAAAGATAAGCATTTTTACAGTTCAGTATTTTTTAAGACAGGTTTTCTATAAAATCACGGAATGCCTGGCAGTTTCAAGTTTACACAAAGTACCGTTGACTAAAATTTTTTTGAAGTGAGGCCAGTGTTGCCAGGTTTTCGGCAAGCCTAATCCCCTTTTATCCATGCAGTTCTATATATTTTTCCTGTTTTTCATTTTAGGCATTCCCGTTTTTTCCCCTTTTTATATACCCCAGTTGTTAGAAATAGCAAATCAATTATCCGTGTTTTATTTTATACTAACAATAACCGAATTTTAACAACTCTGTCAATAACAATAACAATTCAATTTACATTATTAATATAAAAATATTACTTTAAAACATACATATATTGCATCTACTTATGTGTTATTTGTACATATCATTCGTGTGTAATTGTGATACAATTTTTGAATCCCTGAATACTGTTTTCAACAGCACTGTAGTGCATTTCTGTAGCTTATGCGATATTATATCGCAAATTTTGTCATAACGCGGTATCGCATAGTTGATATCGCAAACGATATCCGAAGTGTTTCTTTAACTTAAAAAACTCGCCTTGCAATATATTGGTGGTGAGTTTTGTTAAAATTACACAAACCATCGTACAGTTCCATAAGTAAAGTAACTGTTCTTCTTACCGTGTGTTTTAGGTTATGGTGTATCAGTTCAGTGTGTTAGTGTATTATGAATAAATTGTAATGGAAGTAAAAGAAATTGTTATAGAAATGAAAGAAATTGTAAAAGATAAGAGCACATTCTCAAAAACAGGTGATCTCAGCTGGATGCATTTTTTGGCAATCAGCTGATAGTATTTTTACTTATGAAACTGTACGATGACGCAAACTATCAGAATGAAGAACATATCGTCACTAGACACGAATAAAGGCGCGAGCTCGAAAGTTGACGGCGAAAAAAGACGCATAAAAAAACTTTAGCGTCAAAAACTCTTAACATACTTCGCCGAAGTTTTTCAGAGGCATCTTTTTTCGCAAAATTTTTTTTACGCGCGTTTTTTCGCCGTCAAAACACTATCGCGCCTTTATTCGTGTGTAGTTACGATATGTTATTGTGTATTTGTGACAATTTGAAGCAAAAAGTAAGAAGTTTTATATATTGTGAACATTGGGCACGTTCAGAAAGCGCCATAGCTCAGTAACTGTTGCGATTGTACCTTCTGAACGCGTTGTTGTGTGCCTCTGATCAACTGAACAGTTGCGTGTTAGATGATTGTAATATTTTTCTGATAATTTGAGACAACATGTTGGTGTGTACCTTTGCGAGTTGAATTTGACAGTTAATGTATCGAGTCGTTCAGAAGACGCATAACGATCACTGATTTTTTTAGCAACGGTTGCGCTCAACTTCTGCGCCTTCTGAACCTACCCATTAAAAACATTTAATTGATTAATGTAGGAACCAAAACCAAATATAGGTGCATTTTAAATTTTCAGTGCCCGAATATATAAATGGTTGTTGCTTATCTACTATTTAAATTCAATTTATCACGTCTGTCTTGTTAGTAAACATATAACAACATACATACATACAAACATAAATTTCTTCGAAAATATAATGTGCTTCTTCAGATTTATTGAATAAAATATACAGCAACCAACACCAAAAGTTTCCTATACAATTTCTTTCTACAATATCTGTCCACAATGTTTTTCACAAAAATATTTTTTTTCGTAAATTTGTTATAAAAATATAATTCTGTAGTAAAAACTATTTGAACATAAGTTTCAAACTTGCTCTAAAATCCAGACAAACATGCCAAATTTTCAGGAAAATTTCAAGCTACTTTTGCACAATTTTTTGAAATTTTTATGGTATGTAGTTTTGTAGCTCATACAATATTATTATAATAATAAAAAGCATGTTTTTTGTATATACATTTTTTCTGCAAAAAAAAAATATTTGTCTTAAAAAAATTTAACACAATTGAAATCATACATATCTAACTCATATCGGACGATGTTGGCTTCGAAAACTAAAACTCGCTTGACTTACAGCTAGTGATATATTTATCGCATCATTTATAGCAATGTTTTTTTCACCAAAGTAACAGAAACACTCGCTTGCGATAAAAGTGAAAAAGCGTTATATTTTACGATATAAGGTGTATCGCAAGGTTACAGAAACGCGCTACTGATAAGTGATCAAATGCAGAAAATTCAATATTCAATTGTGCTCCGCCGCGAACGCACATAGCTTTATCTCTGCATTTTTATTTAGCTTGATGTACTACCGAACCATTAGTGAACTGCGAAATTTTCAGCTGGGGATTAGTTATCATGAATTGACTTATATTTTGGCACAGGCTTTTGCGTTTTTGAATGTTTTTGTAATTAAGATTTTTAGGAAGAAGGCTTACTGCACATATTGTGCAATATGCTCGAGTTGTTTGCACTGATGGCAATAATAGAAACTGCTTCTCTTGACCAATATAAGCTATATTTCTTTTTTTATTTAATTACTAATATTTTTTATAAATGTTTAACTCATTATAGAAGTACGGGTATCAAATTAAAGAGGAAATTCTGTAGAATTTAATCAGATTCAATTTTTTGGCACATAAGGACTAGTAAGTATAGTTTAGGTTTATTGTGTGTACCTACCGCAATATGCGGCCCAAACTCCACAGAGCCCATTAAGCTCGAGGATTAATTCATACCTTAATCATTGCCCTGAAATGCAAGCATTTCAGTACCTAAAGGCAGTGTGGGTCGGACAGAAAATCGTTTTTAAACCCTTGTTCGAGTCGCTTGACTCACCTCATTCACACTGCTCGTCTTACAAATCTCGCAGGTCTTACTAGCCTTACTGGGGAGTAAACTACAGCCCGGGATGTGAAGGCATGCAGTATTATATACAGCCGTGCTCCCATTTTCGGAATCGCAAAAATTTTGCGTTTTACTTTTCAAATCGCAAAATTACGTGCTCCAATATTCGCACATCGGAATTTTTGCGCTTTCCAATTGGTTGCCGCTGAGACGGTGGAAAAAAAATGTAAATGACAAAATTAACATAAATAACAAGCGTGCTTACTTTAAATTTATTTTTAATTATGCCCATTATATTTTTCGATATTTTTGGCGTCCTAAAATAAACTTGTCATGTTAATTTTATTTATTTAATTTACTATTTATTATACACATCTAATTTGGGCACCGAAAATGTATCGGAGCAAAAGATTTACGATTTGGTGCGGACGATACATGTGCAACAATTGTTGCATATCTTCAATGAATGGCTTTTAAGAAAGCTGGAAACGAAGTGGAAAATGGGAGCACGGCTGACAAACTCGATAACATCCTCGAATTTCGGCATTTTAACGTTATCAGCTTAAAAAATTACCTATTCGTCCTTGTAAATCCAAACATTTTGAATTTTTCTAATTCTAAAGAAATTTCCTTTTTCATTTGGTACCCATATTTTTATTTTTATGCATTGAATTTTTGAAATCATTTTTGGATTTAATCAAAATTATTTTTGAAATTACAAAGCCCTTTAAAATAAATCCTGACGTCAGAGAGGAAAAATAAAAACGCCACTTTAAATAAAAAAGTAGGTTTCAAAACCATTTATTTATTATTTATTTTATGGTGGGAGAGGCAGAAGCAATTTCTTCGATTTAAGTTGTTGAAAAGTAATTAATATCTAAACCCCAAGACTAATCCCGGGATCCCGGGATTGTGATAACCACATCTCGAAAATCTGGGGATCGTAAAAAGCGGAAAAATTAACATCCCTAATACATATGCGTGTAAAAAGACGTTTAATATCTAGTTGCTCTTAAAATCATATTTCCTTTACGTTTGCTACAAACTTAGCATTTCTTTTTATTAAAAAAAAGATATACATAAATTTTTGAAGTGTACACAGACTCGTTTCACTAGTGCGTTTTCAATGTAGTGGTGCGAGCACATGCATTTGAATAACTTGTGCATCACTGGTTTATCCTAAAGCTTTGTTTGTTAGGAGATTGAAGAATAATTTTAAATCTCTTTCCACCAAAAAATTTCAATTTTTTTATAAAGGAAAGCATTTTTTGAGTTCAGGTAGCTTACTATTAGTGAAATGTTTTCTCGGAAATAAATCTTAGATTTTAAGTGATTTCATCCATTTTTTCTTGAATTCCACTGTTTTAATTAATATTATTATTTTTCACGTACATAGAACCTCTGAGTCAATCTTATTACAATGGAGACGCGTCATGAAAATCCAGCTTTCATAGGAGATGACGGAAAAACTGCGAATGGACGCCCTAAACCCCAACAAATGTCGGATGATGAATCGGTAAGTTGCCTTATACACATTAATGAGCTGCATAAAATCTTCTAAAACCCGCACTTCAAACTACGCAATCCATACCTTAAAGCAGTGTACTGTATGTAGCTACGCACAAACAATATCAGCCTCAGGTCACTCACGCTGACATAGCCAAAGTGCATTTTTATACCACAATTATTAATTTTGTTCACATAACGGTTGTTTGTAACAGCCAAAACGAATCGAGATAGATATAGACAAATGTATACATATATGCTCAGAATGAATAGAGAAATCGATTAAGCCATGTCTGTCTGTCCGTCCGCCTGTCCGTCTGTCCGTCCGTCCGTGTACACGATAACTCGAGCAAAAATTGAGATATCTCAACGAAACTTGGTATGTAGGTTTCTGTTAATCCAAGGTAGGTTGGTATTGAAAATGGGCGAAATCGGACAGTAACCACGCCCACATCCCATATAACGGTAATTTTCGGAAATACGAAAACTGCGATATTTTAGTAACTTCTGAAGATTATTCACTCAAAATTGATATTTACAACAATTTTTAGACGAAAAATAAGAATATTATAAATTTTTAGAAAATGGGCGTAGCCACGCCCACTTATGGTTACATGTGTATAACTTGGTAACCGCTGCACCAATTTCTTCCAAACTTCTCACAGTTGTTGGCCTTGGTACAGCACACTAAATGGCCGAAAATTTAAAAAATCGGACAATAACCACGCCCACATCCCATATAACGGTAATTTAGAGAAATACAAAATCTTCGATAAATCAGTAAATAATAAAGCAAATTTATTCAAAATTTATGCCTTCAACAATTCTTTACCAAGAAATACGTTTATGGTAAAATTTTGGAAAATGGGCGTGGCACCGCCCACTTATGATCATATGTATATCGGTAACCGTTCTACCAATTTGTACCAAACTCGGTATTTTTATTGTATACATAAAAGCAAAACGTTGAAAATTATTGAAATCGGACTAAAATTACGGCCGCTTTTAATATAACGGTAAATTTCAGAAATGCTTGAAACTGCAATATTTCGAAATTTAAGGACGCTAAGTTACTCAAAATTTATACACCCCGGCTAACCATCTAGCGGTAGCTTTCGGAAAGGTGAAAAAACATATATTTAACACTTGCGCCGGGTATTTAATGTTCGGCTCCACCCGAACTTAGACTTTCTTACTTGTTTACTTTTGTATTAATTTACGTAGACCTGAAAAATAACACGGTGTAACACTGATCATGTGCAATGGGGTAAAGTCGTTGGGCTGGGTATGCAGTTACAGTTGCAAGACTATACTTAATCCCGACATGCGTCCTCGTTCGCGCACTCTGGGCAACGTGAGCAACCCATGTGTGAGATGCGGTAACCAACCCGAGTGGAGCCTTGGGTCACGGCAGAAAGAGAGGGAGCTTCGGTGGGGCTACTCCGACTTATTCTGTTTAAGGGCGCACTGAAGTCTGCAGCGTATATTCACCAGTAAGTGCCGCTGCAAGCGGGTGAATTCGGTTGCAAAACCACCCATGTACCAGCAAAGGGTTGTGCGCCACGTAAAAACAGGTTCCAATGAAAAAAACATCAAAGCCTTAGATGTGACCCCCCGTTTAATGACAACCACGGCAAACGTTAAAGAACTACGATTTAGGGCATGCAACTGGAAGGTTCGGACCCTTAATGAGGAAGGTGCCTCTGCCCGGCAGGTTGATGTCCTTGTAAAGATAAAAACTGACATCACCGCCATCCAAGAAATGCGTTGGACGGGGCAAGGAAAAAAAGTCTGTGCCTTGCGACGTCTACTACAGCTGCTATGTAAAGAGCGCAAATTAAGTCTTGGATTTGTGGTTGGAGGGAGACTCCATCGCCGAGTACTCTTGTTGTTGTTGTTGTTGTTGTTGTTGGTGTTGTTGTAGCGGCTACAACAACCCCGCCCAGATAGGCTAATATCTCAGTCGTTGTCGTCAAGTTCCACTAACGGCAGCCCCAAGAAGCGTGCAGCCTCTATGGGGTCGGTCCATAGGGACGACGCCGTTATGGTTGTGGGGTTTTCCGGGCAAGCGAAGAGATGTTTCGAGTCGTGAGGGGTCTCTCCGCATGCCGGACATTGGTTCGGCACATCCGCATTTAACCTACTCAGGTAGGAAGTACTGTCGTTCACCCCGGTGGACGGAGCGTCTAGCCACAATCTGCATCAAAGCGAGAATCTTCAAAATCTCGCTCATCTGCGCCCATGCCCGATGGAAGAGAAGGACGAGACGTCCAAGTTTGTTGAATATAGCATTTCTAAAAATTTTAAGCATTTTTATTTTTACATAAAGACATTGCCTATAATGTCAATTTTAAGTACCCAAATGGGCGTAATGGGCTACTTATGCGTATGGACCCTAGATCATCTAACGCTCGAGCAATATGATAAATAGACATTGAAATTTTATGAAATTGTATATTTTTGAAAGAGGAAAGGTGTGTAAAAAGCAAAAACAATATGAATAAATCATATTAACTTTACTACAGGTCTGAAATCACAAAAATCCCTTCAAGGAAATGGCAGAATTGGACTTTGTTGGAAGTTCACATGGGAAATCTGCTTACGACGGGATTGGAGGAAATTTTAAGAGACTAGCAGCTGGAGCAAGTCTTCAGCTCCCAAAGTCACAATAAATTCTTACACTCTAAAAAAAATGGGGTTAGAATAATTTAGAGAAAACCAAGGTGCTGTATGCGTCCAGGATAGATTCGCAAAGACACAATATATGTATTCCAGGAACGCACAAATGTCATGCCTTTATACCCCAAACATCAACAACACTCATTGCAAAAGAATATTCCACCTCCAATGATAGCTTCAAGGTTAATCCTTTTATTAAAACAAGAAAAAGGAAAGGTGTGTAAAAAATAAACCTAATGAGTAATAACATTATAACTTAAAAAAAAACCAACAACACGCTTTTATTACACTAAGAACTAAAAAGAAAAAAATTATTTATTGATTTAAAGATTCGTTAAATAAGGGTATGAAGTTCCCTAACTTGATGTTATTTAACCTTTTAAACTAGCTTAAAATAGGATTAGAGTAATTGGCTCGTAGTCATAGTCGAAATAAAGTCCACTGAAAAGTTAATTGCAGTTATTTTTTACAGGCATCCCATTGGTAGAGGGATTCGGGGGTACGAATTTGTGTTAACATCAAGAGCTGAAGTCTCTCTAGCTGCTAGTCTCTTAATATTTCCTCTAATCAAGTCGTAAGCAGATTTCCCATGTGAACTTCCAACAAAGTTCAATTCTGCCATTTCCTTGAAGGGATTTTCATGATTTCAGGCCTGTAGTAAAGTTAATATGATTTATTCATATTGTTTTTGTTTTTTACACGCCTTTTCTCTTTTAAAAATATACAAATTCATAAAATTTCAATGTCTATTTATCATATTGCTCGAGCATTAGACGATCTAGAGTCCATATGCATAAGTAGCCCGTTACGCCCATTTGGGTACTTAAAGTTGACATTATAGAAAATTTTTTTATGTAAAAATAAAAATTTTTAAACATGCTATAATCACAAAAAATAAAAATCAAAAAGAAAAATGTTTACTTAGTTTTTTTTGTTTTTTTTTTTCACATTGCACATTAATGTGAAAAATGTACAATTAAAGCCCGCAATAAGACGGAAGAAATACAGTTATTTCATTAAGTCTCGTTAAAAGGTTTCCAAGATACAGCACTTTAAAGAAAGGTATGTATGACGTTTTCTTAAAATTTAAGTCCCGTGTAAATAGGCAACCCTACGTCGTATCGGCAAAATATGCTGCACGGACATTCATGTCACCTAGACCTTCAATCTCTTTAACTTTCATCCGAATTCTGAGAGGTCGCGCACAGAGGTGGCGCGGTGGCATGAATGCCTCATCTATAAATAGAATTTATAAATAAAAAAATAAAAATAAACAAGTAATTTTTAGCAAAAAAAAACCGACTTCAACTCTCATGTAAAAAAAAAAATATATATATATATATCTCATGATCCACTGATCGGATCTTAACCAGATTAGTATAGGACCACCTCTGAGACACTACCTTTGCAAAAAGAATTATCGAAATCGGTTGACGTGGTCCAAAGTTATGCGGTAACATACATAAAAAAAAATAAAAAAAATATTCCGACGAACTGATAACCTCCTCCTTTTTTGGAAATCGGTTAAAAATTAAAAACGTCCGTGCAATAAATTTTCAAGATATTTTCAAAGAGGTTACACTTAATCACGTATATCTTACGAACCGATTTAAAAATCTTAGGGCCGGTTACTCAACGTCTGGTTAACACTAATCTGCGGTTAAACATCGTAATCGAAGTCTTCGACTCCATGCATACAACAGGGAGTCGGTAACGTCGATAACTATGTTTAACCGGAGATTAGTGTTAACCAGAGATTGAGTAACCGGCCCTTAATATCTAATATGGCAAATGAAAGCTAACAGAATTTTATATAGACCGTATATACATCACTTTTCGATAGGTCTGATAGTTTCTAACAAATTAATTAATCATTCCAATTTTTTTTTATGGTAAAGCCTGTTCTGTTGCAAAAAAATCAAGTTACTAATGAAGAAAATCCACTGGTAAATAAAGAAGTAATGGGTGGTGAAATGAAAATGCGCAAAGATTTTTTGTATGAAACATGAGTATAAAAGCGTGATAATTAGGTATACATGGCGTATGAGTAACATTATTTCCTGCTCATTTCTCATACACAAAATCTTTGCGCATTTTCATTAGACCACTCATTACTTCTTTATTTATCCACGGATTTTCTTCATTAGTTTCTTGATTTGTTTGTAACAGAACAGGCTTTAGCACAACTCCAAAAATTTGACATAGAACCTGTTTTTGCTTTGAGCTGAATAACGGTAAAATGAAAAATCTAGCTCGAGTTTTGGAATCAGCGCGCGATTCTACATACAAATTGGATAATGGCGTCTGGAGAACAAAAATCAAATTAAAATTTGTGATCCAGTGTAATTTGCAAAAATTGCGAAAAAAATTTACAATGTCACGGGTTTTGCCATTTTTCAACAATTTCTGGTGAAAATTCGTAGCATATTGAAATCCCAAAGTTATAGAGAATTTAATTCTCCACACCTTTTATAAGAACATTTTTTTTGACGCTTAGATCATGACCGGAAACGTGCTAAACATAGAGATATAAGGGAATTGGCTTAAAATTCATTTCAGTGTACGTTAACCGGTACAGTACGATGGCCAAAATTTTATAAGATGGACTACAAAGATTAAGAGCTTACAATGATAACATAGAGGCTAGGGCTGCCAGATATCTCTGTTGTCAAACCGGGACACTTTAGGGAGGGCCTCTCGCTCCCTTCTCTTTCATTTCGACGTGCGAAAGGATGTAGGGAAATTTTATATTGACAGACAAAAACAAAAACATAAAAACATGAGATCATGAGATCATTACAATGTACGCCAACAAAACAAAACAACTTATCACAACTAAAGCACAGAGAATTTTTTACAATGCATGAACCTTTTTTATTCTTTATAAAAATACAGTTTATACTAAATATATGAAAAAACATAAAAATAAAATTGTTAAACTTTGTGTTAAGCTCAGGAAAATTCAATAAATTTGCATACAAATTTGCAACATTCTAATCAGACTTTTTATAAAAAATGTTTAAAATGAAGTTTTGCAGCCCATTAAATTTAAGTTGATTTTTGGTATTGTTTTTACTGAGAGTTTCTTCCATACAAACTATGCTTAATAATTCTTTTTATATGGAAGACACTGTCAGAAAAAAAAAATAAATGCTAAAAATCAACGAAATTTGCTGGCAACTTCAGACTTGCACTTTATTAATTGGCTCAAAAGCTAAATTTAAAAAATTTTCTAAAAAGATTAGAAATTGTGATCTGATTAAAGAGCCGCCGAGCCAATAATTTTGTATGGCACTGTACTTATAAGTACTCTAGCTTTCATGAAAGAAAAAAATATAAGTACAAGATAACATCAAAATATCAGTCATATTTTTCGTTGCTGTGAACTTGTTTCAAAACTTCTGTCTTTTCCTTATTATAATTGTAAAACTCTGTGCACGTAATTTTGAACGTATTTAGGTACATATCGATGGCTGAGTGGAAGATCGACCTATCTCGGCAGCCAGTTCGAAAACGCCCTATCTCAGAAAACTTTTCAAGAACGCCCTACTTCAGAATTTGATTGAAAAACGCCCTAATTCAGAATATTATTGAAAAACACCCTACCTCAGAATTTGGTTGAATAACGCCCTATCTCAGAAATCGGTTCAAAAACGCCCCCTATCTCAAAGGAAAATACATTGAAAATAAGCTGAGATAGGGCGTTTTTGAATCGGCATCTAAGATAGGGTGTTCTTCAACCAAATACTGAGCTAGGGCGTTTTTCAATCAAATTCTGAAGTAGGGCGTTCTGGAAAAGTTTTCTGAGATAAAGCGTTGTTGAAAACTTTTTTGAGATAGGGCGTTTTCGAACTGGCTGCCGAGATAGGTCGATCTTCCACTCAGCCATCGATATACTAATCATCAACTATTGCTTGTGCAAAGTTCAACTATCTCGAAATATGACTATTTCACAAATTAAACCAGTGCACTGAGAGAAAGAAGTTTAGAATTAAAGAAGCGTGCTAAATTAAACAAAAACACGCATATGAAAGTGCACCAACCCAACTCGTAATACATTTTAGTATACAAATTTTAGTATTTAGTATAGAAATATTCAATTCAAATACGCCCATATTAAAATGAAGCGATTTGCAATTACCGATTGCTTTTTCATAATTAAGTTAAAAAAATATTTAAATTCCATGCTGTTAGTAATGGGAATTGAATCCTGACCCTCTGGAAATTAGCAAATTGTGGCAAGCATCGTCGCGCACTCAGCTACAGCCAGACATGTAAATGTGCATTTAAATGTTGAGTTTGAATCAACACCACGCGTGCGTGTTATGAAAGTATTATTTTTAAATACGAACATTTTTAAACGATAATCAAATAGAAAATACTCATGTTTACTATGCGTTATTTCCCTCAGTGAATTCATAACAGTTTTCTGATTATTACAACGCGTTTTTCCCTTAGTGTAGTGATTTTTGAACTTTTATTCAAATTTGTGCAATCAAATCAAAAACCGGGACACTACAACGAACCCCGGGATATTTTAAGGTTTGACCGGGATACCGGTACAAATAGTCTAAAACTGGGACATGTCCGGGAAAACCGGGACGTCTGGCAGCCCTAATAGAGGGCCGCCAGTAAAAATAGTGTGGCATTATACAATATTCAACATGGCGTATAAGCTAAACGTAAATTAGATTTTGTTTTACAACTTTTGCGCCACCGGAGGACCCAAACAAAAAAGTAGAAAGTAACAGCAGGTTCTTATGATTTGAGGTTGGTGATTACGAAACTAGAGGTTTAATTGTAAACATTCAAAATGGCGAATCAAATATGGCGGTCAAAAAATCAAAATTGAAACATTTTCCTCTGGAGTTCTTGGGCCGCTTATTACGAATCTGAGGAAAATCAATTCAAATGACAGACCCAGTATGGAAAAAAAAAATTCAAGTCGATCCGATTCACTTGAGACGTTTTACACGGGGGTTTTTGAGGTTGGTGATTAAGAATCTGAAGTCGGATTGGAAATATTCAAAATTGCGTATCCAATATGGCGACAAAAAATTTAAATTGATTAGATTCGTTTAAGGCTTTATAAAGAGGGTTCTTAAGGTCTCTGATTACGAATCTGAAATCGGATTTAAAAATGCAAATGGCGGATCCTTATTGGATCTACCATTTATCATAGAAAAAATTGTAGTCGCGCATACGTACGTGGCGTATGAGCATCACGTTAGTAAAAATCTGATCTGAGTTTAGATTCGTAATCAGAGACCTTAAGAACCCTTGCTTATAAAGTTTAATCTTTGTAATCCGTCCTATAAAATTTTGGCCATCGTACTGAAGAGAAAGAAATTCGCAGTTTTTGCAATTATTCACATTAAAAAATGTTTTTTTTTTAACCTTTTATATAACAAATGTGGGAAATTAAATTCTCTACAAATTTGTATTCAACCATTTTTTATTAAAAATGAAAAGTAAGCTTGCAAATCGTAAAAACCCCAAAAAAACCTAAAATCGAAGATGGCGCAATGTTGTCATATGAAACTTAGGGGCAGGACTGTGGATCCATGATCTACGTGTCAAATTGCTGCTACACATTTTTTATTTTCTTCGTACCAATTATGCTTGAAATGAGATCTGATGGCTGGCAAGCCATTTATGAAGGGATTGTGCAGCTCTTTAATATATTCAAACATACTTACATATGTTAACTTTTGTTAATTTAATCTTTTCCTTTACTCTGTAGAGTCTGCCTACGAAGAAAACTCTGGAAAACGAACGCGCCACATGGGGGAAAGGGGTTGAGTTTCTCTTCTCTTGTATAGCTATGTCTGTTGGCCTGGGTAACGTCTGGCGGTTTCCCTTTACAGCACTAGACAATGGGGGAGGAGCTTTCTTGATCCCTTATTTAATCGTATTGTTCTTAGTCGGCAAACCAATTTACTATCTGGAAATGGCGATCGGCCAGTTCTCAAGTTGCGGTTCCGTCAAAGTTTTCAATTTGTGTCCAGCGATGAGAGGTAATTTTTTTAATACGTGCCAAGAATGTACATACATATATAATAATTAAGAGAATTTACTCGAAATTTACGTTTTTGGAGATTTTAGCATACCAGCAATAAGCTCTATAAGAGGAATATGTTCAGTGTAAAGGCTTGTTTTCACCATGTCAAATTCAATGGCATTGGTCGTCAAAGAAAAGAAAAAACCATGATCAAATATGATTAAAAAGCGGCTTATCGATTAATTTCTATCAGGATAGGCATTTAGTGGTGTACATGCGCTGCTAAATCGGCTGTCGGTTTTGGCCCATATACATAAAGGAGATAAAGTTGTGCCAAAATATGTAGATAAATTCTGACGTGCAAATATGACATAGTGAAAACCAGCCTTAACAGACTACAAGCCTCAAAAATGGCGAAGATATGCGTATCTCCAACTATTTTTTTATATACCAACTACAGTGCAATCGCAATAGCTCGTAATCCAAGAGGCCACCTAAACATTGTTAGTTATCGCGATTCCACTATATTTGAATTAATCAAACTTCGATTGCCTTTTACATAAAATTTAAGTTTTGAATTATTCCCTTTATTATTTATATTAAAAGCTCAGTTAGTCAACGAAGTAGCGTAAACTTAGGTTGACGTACGTAGCAGCATATCAAATTTACTGTCGATAGAGAGAGAGAGCAGCAACGGCAACGTCACCGACATGCGGTGATGAGTTTTGATTAACACGCGAATCCCATAAGGTAGATCGTGTCTGCGTCAAACTACGTCTACGTTACGTCGTTGACTGTTCGAGCTTTAAACGTGAGATATATTCATACACATACATACATATTGGACATACATACATACATATGTAAGAATGTAGATTCACATATAAATTTTTTATGTGTAAGGTTTTTATTATGAACCGCAGAGGATTCCTGATTCAAATCATTTTTGACTTAGGGTCATTTCACATCAAGCGGACAGAAAAAAGTTACGCTTTAGAATTCGTTCATATTTTGAGTAATTGTAGTAATTTTTTCGAAGATCGAGCTTTTTTTGTGTAATTAATGCTAAATAACTTCCAAAACGTCAATTGCTTTGCATACGTACAAAGTATAATGTTCCATATCGCCGAACTACAATATATTGACAATATATACCTTCCCAAAACGCATCCGAAAAGTTATCGAAAAGTTATCGCATCGCTAGAGCAATCAGCGCATCAGAAACAAAGTTCGCTTAGCTTGTTACCTATTGGTTACCATTGGTGTTTTGAAAATGGTAAATTCAGAAAAATTATTCATTGCTATATTGAATATTTAAAACATGCAATGTATATGGTTGCACTGTGTCGCAACTTTGCATATACAAACAGTTTGAATACCGCAGTATAACAGTATCCAAACATTGTATTGATATGTTTTGGAAGACAGCCTATCTGTTTGTGCTTCACAGGGATAAAAGAAAAATAAAAATGGCCGCCCACTTCACAAATTTATTCTTTGGTTGCGACACCGCTTTTAGGCTCTTAAAAAAGTTACTTTATGTTTTTAAGTGAACTTTTAAACGAAACACCAGCTAATGAAGATGTTGGATATAGTGAAATACCGAGCGAAAGCATAAATGCACTCAAACTGACGCAGCAATAAAAATTCTTGACATTTTGAACCATCCAAAGGAGAAATTTAATGATCCCTCAGCATCTGAATTTATGGAAAGCATGATATTGACTACAGCACATCAGTAATGCATCAAATTAAACGAGGATTACGATGTTGTAATTTTAAATCCGAAATTTACTGGTCATCACTATGCAAATCAACTTCAAAAAGTTCAACTGTTAATAGCTAAGTTAGCTTTAGGACAATCACGACCATCTTATATACATATATAAATACTAAGCCCGTTTCTTTAGCTTTAAAACGACGTTAAGACGAAATCTCTACGATGAGTAGTACCCGATTAGTCAGAATCACGAAAAAATCAAAACTTTGACAGATAATATCTCCGAAGAAAAAAAAAAGAAATCCTCGAATACGGGTTAGCCTATTTCATGTATAAACCCGTAAAAAATTTGAAGAGAATCGGAGACATGATATAATAACACACATGCAAAAACAATAAAATCAGAGAGCTATAAGAATATTTTAATTGTTTCACCAACACCAGTTATGAAATTTTGACTTTTTATCTTTGATATTCTGTTTTTTTTTTTTTTACTGAGACTGATGAGTTCTCACTCAACCTAGTAAATTTCTGGTAAAATTATTAAATCATCTCATCAGGAACATGAAATTAAAGAAATTTTCAGACAAACTACTACAGTTAAGTATTTCCCGCTATGTAGCCCCTCAAAATGTTGTTGTTGTCGAGTTCTACTGTGAGAAGGGAGAAATATATGTATCTAAAATACATAGGTTTTTATGGAATGGTCAGTGTGATTTTTGTAGCTTGTGTTTTTAGCAAACCTTTAACAATTGAGGAAATATCTCAATTATTATTTAACAAACTAGTCATAACAACTTCTGAGAGAAAAAGTGTACTTTTGAATCTATTTCATCATGACCATTTCCAAGAATAGTAGCGTAGCATTAAGAAAGAAACCCTACCCGTTTCTTGACTTGCAGTATATACGCTGAAAGACGGTGAATAAATTATTAATTATGCCCGAAAACCGGTTGGTAAAGTACACAAAACAGCTACAAAGAAAGCTAAAGCAACTTGTCTCTTACTGCTCGTATAAATATATACACGCATATGTATGTGTAAAAGTACAATCCTACGTTAATTAAATATTCATTCATTTGTTTGAAAATCACCTGCGCAAATTTAAGTTTACACTAATTTTATATTACTTCGACGATCGTGCTTTTGTACTTGTACGTGTTTTCGATAGTCGCAAATATTGTCTACTATGCTGACCTGGACCACTTCAAACGTAAAAAACCACCACCTCTTCGTCGCCCATGGGCAATATGATTCGGCTGTCGAATGTGCCATGTTCCAAAAGGAGTAGTTCTCTAAGTGTCCCAAGTTATGCCGCGATGGACCAGAAGTGGTCCCATGTTATGCAGCGTTGGACTAGAGGTGGCCAGGTCCAATGACATCGCAATGTTAATGTAACCGTATTTTCCCCATATACGTACATATGTATGTATGTAAATACAGGTGAGGTGAAACAAGGCCCATGGCCATAAGGTCAGCTGACATTATGACCACTTCAATGGGACATAAAGTCAATGGATCACAATGTCAATTGACTTTATGCCCGTGTAAAATAAACGGCAAATATGGATGGTAAAAGGAAAAATTTTAATTTAACAAATTTTAGAGGATATATTTAATACAAATCACATGTTCAAATTCAAAATTTACGTTTTTAGAGATTTCATCATATAATTAATAAGCTTGGCAATGAGAATATGTTTAGCGCGGTTTTCTGAAGCAGGTTTTCAACTTTATCCGCCTTTTCTTTTTTGGAGAACTGGTTTCGTTTTTCAAAAACTGACTAGATTTTCTTTTAGAATAGCGAAGTTTAAAATTCTCTGAATTTTTGCAGTACGCAAAACTACTTTAAAAAAACTTAATTTTCATTTTTATTATTCTTCAGAAGCGCATAACTCGACAAATTTCATATAAGAAAACTGTGAGTCCATCCTTTCACAAGTGCAATTACTCAAAATATGAACTAGATACATAGCATACATGTAAATATGTACATACATCTGTTAAAGTATTTATTTACGTATTCATTATTGCCTTCATATATTTAGTCGTACAAATATACGTATCTATTTATGTACTTACATACATACATAATAGAGTTCATAACTAAAAAAAAATGCGGTTTTTCACCGGGACTACAAAATGTATTATACATATTTGAAGACTTTTACCAAAATATTTTACGTGAAAATACCTTCAAATATGGAGTTTTTTATGAAAAAAATAGTGTCTTAAAGAATTTAAAACGAAAACATCCCCTCAGATCAAACAGTTTAAGCTTACCAAATCTGCATAAAAATATTACATTTTTTTGAAATGAAATGAAATTTTCGATGCTGTTTTTAAACTTTTTTCAAAGATTGGTTTAAGGAAAACTTGAACTACTGGGCCGAAACTGTACCCATTTAGAGTTATAAAGTATCAGTGGAAATGTATTTTCTCACTGTTTTTATTTATTTGCAAAAAACCCCATCCCACTTTTTTCTGTTTAAATATCAGCACAGCTTAATTAGGCTTGGAATGACGCTCGTTCATCCTACCTTTCTCTTTCATATTTTGAATGAGTTTATTTGCAATTGAATGAAAGGGTGAGAAAATACCTCCTCACTGATACCTTATAAGTGTTAATCGGTATAGTCTTGGCTAGTTATTCAAGTTTTTCTTAAACCAAACTTTGAAAAAGTTCAAAAACTGCGTCAAGAATCTCATTATTACGATTTAGTTCAGTAAAATTAAATAAACTTGATAGGAAATTTGAAAACAATTTGTAACAGCTATTTATTGATGCAGTTTATTTCTATTGGACACGTAGATCATGGATCCACTTTTTTGTACCGTACATCGCTCTGTTTATCGCGTTCCCCACCGTGATCTAAGCATCATACAAAACAAATGTAGATACAAAAGTTGTGGAAAATAAAATTCTCTACATCTTAGGAATTTCAATATGCTATGTATTTCCACAGAAATTGTCAAAAAATGGCGGAAAACGTGACAATGACATTTTTTACGAAAAAAGCCTGCAAATCGCAAAAAAGAAAACAGCTAAATCTAAGATGGCGGAATGTTGCCAAATGAAATTTAGGGGCAAGACTGTGGATCCATGATCTACGTGTCAAATTTTTTATTTTTTTCCTACCAAAATTTATCTAATTTTACTGGGCTAATCGCTATGTTTGGCACTTTCTCGGCCGTGATCTGAGCGCCGTACAAAAAAAATAGATGTAGGTATAAAAGTTATGAAGAATAAAATTCTCTTATACGTCTTTGGAATTTCAATATGCTTGTATTTTCCACAGAAATCGTCAAAAATTGCGAAAACCGTGACAATGTAAATTTTTTTCGCAGTTTTTCTTAATTTTCTACAATAAAAAATGCTAGTTTTAAAAAACCTTCTACATAACAATTGTGGGAAATGCAATTCTCTACATATTTGTATTGAACCATTTTTTACGAAAAATGCAAACTAAGCTTGCAAATCGCAAAAAAACCCCAAAAAACTGAAATCCAAGATGGCGGAATGTTGCCGTATGAAATTTAGGGGCAAGACTGAGGATCCATGATCTACGTGTCAAATAGAAGTGAACTGCATCAAAAAATCGCTGTTACATTTTTTTTTAAGAAAATGTCTAATTTTACTGGGCTGATTCCGCAGATAATTTTTTTTTATATTTGTGTAGAAATTTTTTAAGCTGAAACTGTTTTGTCATCTGAGGTATGTATGCAATTAAAAAAAAAAACAAAAAACATTTTTATTCATAAAAAAACTCTATTTTTGTAGGTATTTTCAAATCGGTCCAGCTCACGTAAATCTTAATATTTTTCCGAAATATTTAGGTGGAAGTCTTAAAATATAATAGGAGATGTGGTGATCTCCGAAATAGCTGCTATAACTTCTACCGCTTAGACTTTGTTGCTTTTTCAATATTTCCTAATAAACAAAAATATTAAAAAATAGATTTTCTAATTCCTACATGTCATTTTAATGCATATGATCCGCATTATTTTTTATATACAACATAGAAGCGGTCATTTCTGCAAACTTCATTCGATTTTGTATTAAGTATTTTAGATTATAACACTATAGAAGTAAAAGGGCGATATGTATATAGAATACATACTATGTACATATTGCATAGACGTGTATAAATACTTATGTACGTATATTGTAAGCTGTAAATGCATTCATACATCCATATCGGCATAACTCATTAATTGTGAACGTATTAATTTTGCTAACTTCAAAGGTATTGGCATTGGTCAAGTATTGTCAATTTCGATTGTGACCACCTACTATGTCGCCATTATGGGCATGATTGTACGTTATCTGTTTGAATCATTCAAATCACCATTACCTTGGACAGTTTGCGAAGATGCATGGAATGAAACCTGTGTTGCATCCGGAACAATGGCCACACCAGAGCATGGTATTGAGTTGTCGACTGGAGCGTCGCTGCTTGACATTGGCAAAGCCGTTGTTGCAAACATTAGTGGAACATTGAATAATATCAGTGATAGTGTTAGTGTTATGCACCATAATGCCAAAACAATATCATCTGCAGAGTTATATTTTAAGTAAGTTTAACTTTACTCTGGAACCTTCAAAATTGTTTTGCTATCTTCTCTTACTTACTAACGCATCATATAAATTTACTAACGAAAAACGAATATATCTAATACATATTTCAACTGCATGCAAGAAGTAAAAGTATTTTTAAAGATACGCACATATAAATTCATAAGAAAACATATACATATGTACATAAATACATACATACATACATATCGACGTAATATCATTTCATGTACTGTGCCCAATTGGTTGGATGTAAATCAGATAGGGTCGGTTTCCAAAAAGAAAAGTTACTCGGGATTACTGCGCTAGAAGATTTGGGTTTCACCTCTTTAGGGTGACGGAAAAATTCATTACTCAAAAAATTTGAAATTTAACTAAAACTAAACGAAGATTGGCCGCCGTTGTGGTGTAGTGGTTAGCAGTGCGCTACCACTCCGCAGGGCCTGGGTTCAAGCCCGGAAGGCAATGGAAAACCTCCGAGCTTCTCATAAAAATACAATCGCCGTTCGGAGTCGGCGTAAAACTGTAGACAACATCAAGGCGCACTCTAACATATGTGTAAGCGCCAATCTATTCTTCTTCTTTTTCTTAAACGAGGGTGGGTAGAAATCGGGGGTGGTCTAAACTTGTTTAATCCAGCTACCCCGCACATCTGAAGAATATCAAAATATTCAACGTATGTACATATATTAATTTCAAAATGTGCGAAAAAAAAATTGCCACAAAATTAAATTTTTTAAGGTGTTTTAAGAACAACATCTTATTAGAAATAATATTTTTAAAATACATTGAAATAATATAATAAATATTAATTAGCTAAATTATTACAGTTAATCACTTTTATGAAGGATTCCTTAGACATATACATAAATTCATAGTAAAATTACACATTATTCCAATTACGGTGGGAAATACACCGAAATATAGGTATTATGACATGTTTACACACATATGTACCTATATGCGAAATAATGGCAGTGAGACATTTTGACCAGTTTCACCTTATATAAAAGTCTAATTCATAATTTTATAAACACAAGTACCAGGTTGACCGAGCTTTGCCCGGAGTGCATATACTTTATAAAGTTTTCAAGATTTGGATGGCTTTGAAAAAATATTTTGGAATTGAAAAAAAAACAATTGGATTTCGATATCTAGTAAGTAAATTTCTTACACTAAAATTTAAGAGGCAATCCCCTTCCGAAATACGCTGCAATTAATAGTACAAATCTTAAGCGTATATGTACTGTGTATACTTACAAAAAATGCTGATTGAAATTAACAAAATACAAATTTGTATTACACAGAAGCATTGCAGCCTTGGTCGAAAATATCTTCTGAACAAAGTTCTCAACAATACCTTTCATTTGATATCCATATTGCGGTGTTTCAGATAAATTGTGAAGAATCGAAAATAAGTGGCAACCTTACACAATTATCCAAGTGGATAACATTTTGTATATAGGGTTAGCATTGACTAAGAAACTTGTCCTGGTACCGTGAATAGTAATAGTTTACCTTTTTTTCTAAACAAAAAATTAAATATACTTGCTGTTCAAAATAGGTGGCAACCCTATTAAAAATGTTTTTTAATTAGGGACCTTTAAAATAGCTTTCATTTGATACCCATATTATGATGTTTTAATTAATTTGTAACTAATTTCGAATAGGAGGCAACCTTATACGAGTCTTCTCGGAAATAATGCCTACTCAGGTAACCTTAAAATCCAAAACTATATCTGTGTACAAAATTTCAACAAAATCGTTAGAGCCATTTCCGAGAACCCTATGGATACATATATACAAGAATTGCTCGTTTAATGTAATAAGATATATGTATAAAAATCGTCATTTCAAATTTTTCACAAAAATTATAACGATTCAGCAGGTTTTCCCAAATTTTTTTTTAACAAATTTTCGTATAAAAATGTTTAGGATATTCACAGTTTACTTTTAAAGTTAAAAGGGTGCAACTTTAACAAGATAACACACTCGAGCTGTGAGCAATCCTTCACACATGTGTTTCAAATGAACAGTAAAACAAATACAGTAAGATATATATTTAAAAATCTTTCAAATTGTGCCCACCTTATGCTTTTCTGCTTCACTTTCCATTTTTTCTTAGCGCGAATAATTAGCTGATCAGAGATGAGAGTTTAACACAAAACAAAAACATGAGACAAAGTCGAGTAATTTTACCCAAAAGTGTTATCTCTAATTAGTATGGGAACCAACAACAAACAAAGTTACCACATGG